GCAAATGCACTTTCACTCACCTGGTCAATGTTCTCCTGAGAAGGACTTTCTTGATGCTTGTTGGTTTCAGGATCTGAGTCATTTAACAACCACATCCGAGGGTTACTGAGAAGAATCTGAAAACGTACAGGACGCGCCTTTACTCATCACCAGCACCTGCTCGCTCACTCTGGCAGAGACCGAGCACCTGTATGTGCTGGGCAGACACAGCTGGAGGACACACAAACAGGTGGATATTGTGGGGAATCAGGCTGAGGGCACTATGGGAGCAGAAAAAAGGGGACCCTTAACCAGGCCGGTGTCTGGGAGGCTGCTGTTCAAAGAAGGTTCCTGCCAAAGGTCATGTCCAAGTTGAGGTGTGAAGGATGTTGTTCATCCTTCAGGCAAAAAGGTTGCTTCTGAGTAAGCAGAAAAGGATTCGGGAGAGCGGATAGAAGGAGGATTCCAAGAAAACAGGTTTGTTAGAGCTGAGCCTCGGGGGCGACAAGGTCATAAGAAGCTATAAACAGAAAGCTATAAGGTGTAAACAGCAATCCAGGGCTGTGCAGTGCAGTTTCTCTTTGGAAGGGTCATGCTGCAGACTTAAAACCTCAAGGAGAGCAGAGTCCTCTGGACCCTTGATTTCACTGTCACATGATACTTAACCTTAAAAGCCCTGTTGGGGAATTTCCCTTTTAACATTAAATATTTCTGTATTGATCAAATGTATTTACGTATTATTTGTATAATTAAAAACTATTTTTGAGCTCCATCAGTCCCTTCACATATTCAGAATTTTCTGGTTCTTTATTTCTCCAAAAAACCAAATTAGATATCCAAATAACATTTTTAATCTAAAAATATATATATATACACACATATATTTGAAAATTCAGCTGACCCTTGAACAACACAGGCTGGGGGCGCTGACCCCCGTCGCAGTGAAAATCCACGTATAACTTACTGCGGGCTCTCCCTCCGTATCCACGGTTGTTCCGCATCCGTGGATTGAGCAATACTGTACAGCATTTACTGCTGAAAAAATCCATGTATAAATGGACCCACGTAGTTTGAACCCATGTTGTTCAAGGGTCAACTGCAGTGACAAATGGGGACTTTTGCAGAATGGGACGGGAGGTCCTGAGAATAAAAGGCAAAGGCAGGTCAGGCCCCGCTGCCGGCAGGATCCAGTGTGTCCTCCTGAGCAGGGCCAACAGGATGACACCGCCCAGCTCGTCCCGCCTACCCGTCCAGCCCCGTCTCTGGCCACTCCCCACCCCCCACGGCCCCGCCTCCAGCAAGCACAGAACCAAGACCTCAGCAACCCTGGGGCTCAACTCCCTCAGGGGCTCGTCTTCACCCTTCACGCTGCCCCTGCATCTGCCCAGAGCGCTTCTCCTCAGCCTGCAATTCCCTCACGACTCAGCTTGCAGCCCCTGCTCCCCCATCTGCTGTGCTCCCATATGGCAGCCCTCACCCCACTGTGCTGTGTCTGTCTCCCCGCTAGCCCGTGGGCTCCCGGGGCAGACGTCACCTCCCGCTTCACCTGCTGAGATTCAGCACAGCACCTGCCTGGTTAGTATCCAATCTGCTCCCTGAACAAACACTGGAAAGCATGCAGACCCAGGCAGAGCTACTACTAATCTGGACTCCAACCTGTTTAGTCACCTCTGAGGATTTATTTAAAACACCCCTTTGCCAACAATATCCTGTTGACTAAGTAAAAGAATAAAAGTAGACAATCAAATAAAATACTGTAATTCAAAAAGATTGTACTAAAACTTTAATCACCTTTCTTTCCTTCCATGTTATTGTTTAAACTCCTCCTCTGCAAACAGAAACCTCACACAAAGTTCCTGCCCTGGGAGCCCTGCCGAACTGCGGGTGGGCACTGAGGTGGGGCTAGTCCTTCTGGCTCTGCTACTGGGTTGGAGCAAGAGAGCTCTGACCCTCGGATCCACACCAGAAACGGGGAGGAAAGCCTGCAGCAGCGAGGCCCTGGGCTTCACCGAAGGACAAGGGAACATCAGAGCGGAGGAGGCTGGGGCCGGGGCCGGGGCAGGCTCACCTTCAGGGCCTCCTCCAGGTTCCCGACCGCCTGGTGGAGCGCCTGCTTGGCTGCATGCGTGGAGTAGCCCATTTCTTTCAAATAGTTTATGTTCTCCAGGCGGCGTCTCTTCTTCTCTCTCTCCTCCTTCCTTATTTGGTCCAATTCCTTAAGGAAAGTAGCAGAGTCACCGAGTTTGGAATTGAGAGTCTGTCAAAAGCCTTCTCAATCTCTGGTCTAGAGGATTCTGGGGGGTCACCAAGTAAAGTGAAAACCAAGAGGTGAGGTGACCTCCACCTGCCCCGCCCAGCCAACAGCATGTGGGCCACCAGGGCAGAGACTGTGCACCGTGCCGCTCCTGGGGTGGCCCAGCGGGAGCCAGAGACCCGAGTCCAGCGAGGGAAGACAGCGTCACAGTTACCACCATGTGGTGCCAGAACAGACCACTGGGAACCAGCGAGTGCACCACTGCCATCCCACAGACAGGTGGACGGACCTTCTCCTAGGGAGGGGGTGACAGAGCTTCCTGCATGGGTGGGAGAGATTCTCAGCCTCTGAGGAATCACCTGGGATCTTGGTGAAATGTGACTGAATGTGGGGACCATGGAGGGGGTGAGGGGGATGAGTGGTTCCTGGGTGGCGCCAAAGCTGCTGATCCCCCCACCTTTCTCGGTAGCAAGGACCTTAGGTGCCTCCTAGGGCCTATTAGTCCATTTAAAACCTCCAGAATGCTCGAGGTCAGGTGTCAAAGGTCACCTAATCCTGTGGTTCTCAACTCTGAATCTCTGAGGTGCCTGGTGCTGCTGCCAGAGCCTGAGAAAGGCCGCAGAAGGGTCGGTCTCCTCCCCTCCCTGCCCCAACCTAATGAGGAGAGTTCTGAATTCATTCTGAAAACAAGTATCATTTTAAAAGGATTTTTGCTGCTTTAAAAAAAAAAACAAAAAAACTAAAGTTCAAAAGCCACTAATTCAGTCCAACCTCATCATTTTGCCAATGACAAGACAGAACTCTCTCAAGACAGTTAAGTGACATGGTTAAGGTTGTCACCGACAGTGTAGCTGGGATGAAGGTTTCCGCACATTCTAGAGACGGTCAGCCCTCGCCCCAACACAGGGAGGACAGCACGAAAAACAGCCTTTCCTCCTCTGATGTGTCTACTCCTGCCTCCGTGACTCAACCTAGAGCCCCCTCTACACTTGTCAGCAAGAACATGGCCTCGTCTCTCAGGAAAAGAAAGGAACCCTCATCATGGAACCAAACATTCCCAGCTGGTAGGAGTAGGCAGATGGAACGTTTCCAGAACGTTTCCAAGCATGAAGACACTCTCAGGCTGTAATGTCTGTGGTTATTTACAACACCTACCTGGGAGTAACCTCGGCAGCTCTGCTGGCCAGCTCCCGGGCCCCTTGACTTCATCTGGCCCGCTGTCTGCACCCCCTGCATCTCTAACTGCCCCCTAGCGGCCAGTCTCCCCAACTCCAACCCCTTCTGCACATGTTGTGGGCTTCATCATCTCACCCACCTACTCACAAGCAGCAGTGGCCGCTTCCCCAACCCAGTCAGGCTCCACCTCCCAGGCCCCAGCTCCATCAAGCTGACCTTACCTGCTTCACCACAAAAATCAGAGGTCAGCAAAACTACTCCGTATCACTCACATTTCGACTTTTATTCACATACACATTCCGTGTAAAATGCCTTTACCCTGTCCCATCCTCTGCTTTCAATTCCAGAAATTTCCAATTTCTTCCACTTCTATTTCAAAAGGCTAAGACGCACAAGTAACACTCAAGCAGAGAAAGATGCTGCCAGCCGGTAGACACAGGACTCAGGCGCCATCTAACTCTGAGCTGACACAAAGCTGGGGCCTCAAAGAACACTTTTTCTTTGATTATAAATGTCTAAGTCAGTTTTCTTTTAACCATGTAGATATACATAAGGAAATTATTTTCTGACACTTCCCTTTTTTCTAGAAAGAATTAGGAAAATAAATCAAAGAAACGACAGTGAGTATTGCAGAAATATTTTATGGCCACAGTAGAGTCAAACCTCATGAGAGAGAACTGGGTTCCAAAGTCAGGGCTGATGGCTACGTATGGCCAGAACAGGCAGTGAGCACCTCTCAGGAAGCTGCCATGCTGACTCTCACGACCCCTAAATACTTCAGCACTGTAGGTGACCCTGGTTTCTTTAGTCTGTTTCTTTCTGCCAGATGAGAGACTGGCCTGTGCTCAGGGCCATGATGTACAAAAAAGAGAAACTTTCAGGATCATATATTACCCTTAGTCAGTGAGACGCTCAAACCCAGAGCGCTGGGAACTGAGAGGCAGCAGACTCCCCAGAGCCCACATTCTGTGGGTCGTGGAGCTGGCCTTCCCACCGGCCACCAGCCCTCCCTAGGGTGTCGGAGGCCACCCAGCTCCCCGAGTAGGCCCGGGCCAGCCTAAGCTAAGGAGACAGACCCAGGCCTGTCGGGTCTTGCGTTCCCCTGGCCACAGAGACTGGCTCAAGGGCAGCCAATCAGTGAGCAGCTCAGACTGTCTGAGGCTTCTGGGCCCCTGACTGTGCCCTCGTTGCGATGGGATGATGCCGATAACACAGTGGAGGCAGGAGACAGAAACCAGGAACTCAGTGACAGGGAGAAGCCCTACTGATCAACTAACCCAAGACCCAGCCCGCCTCTGGGCTCTTTACAATTTAGGCCAGTAAATTCCTTCCCCACCCTTTTATTGGGTGTTTAAGCCAGTTTGATTGGACTTTTTGTTGCCTTCAACCAAAGGCATCCTAACTACACATCAACTGGGTGAAGAGTGAGCAGGGTCAACTGTACTCCACACTGTTGTTTTTATTTTCTCCGAGGGCTTTTGGCTTAATTCATAAAATGCACATCTAATAGGACTCCACTATTTTTTTTTAAAGTTTACTTTTGCTGCTTATAAAGTAAGGAATGAAGTAACTTTTACCACTTGTAACATCTCTTGGCTTTTCAGAACCTTCTGTAAAAACTCAGAATGCTATTCTCTCATGGAACACAGAAAATGGGACACAGAGAAAATCAGAGTTCAGGTTTTACCACTGATTGAACTATGCCCCCAGAGAAGCAACCTCTGAGCCTGTTTTCCTCATTTTAAAAACTAGCATATCAGATATGGCACCTTTCCTTCCAACTCCAAAGCTCTGAAGTTTTTTTTAACTGTACTTATTTCTAATTGTTTTAAATGATTAGTTTTGCACCTTTGCTTTCGTAACATAATGTTAATTGTTCCTATGACCTGACTCCTGTTTCTAGGCTAGATGACATCCAGATTGGTAACAATGGCCCCTTTAAAATGGTTTCCAGAAATATGCTATGGTAAGAGAGGAAAGATCGTTTGGATAATGATACCTATGAGCTACCTGACAACAGAGCAAGAATAAAACTAAGGAAACTGCACTGTCTGAACACTGATGCAATTAAAAAAGACACGTTTTCCTCCTGACTTCCCAGTCCGAAGTGATAAAGCGCTCCTTGCTAATAATACGTACTGCGGAGCTGTCTTTTTCTGTTCTTTCAGATCCGAGAGCTAAGGCGCTTCTGAAAAACCTTACTATTGCCTCAAGTTTCACACCTACTCAAAAGTACAGGCCAAGCCCACATGGAGGTACCTCTCTGCGGTGGGTGATGTGGGCAGCTGCATGGTCCGCGTTCCCGTCACATGCCCTCAGGCCCAGCCGAGCTTCCTGGGCAGTAAATCCCAACTGCAGCAAATTGTGAACTTTTGATGGATCAATATACAGCTCCTTGAAGAGCTGGCGTGCCTACAGACGGGGAAAAATACAAGAATCACGCAACGATAACAACACGAAAGCTTAACACAAAGCTAAAGTCTGAAGGAAACTGAACTGCATCCAGTATGAATTAGGGTGTGTCAGATTTTAGATAAAAACTCTAAATGTGGCCTATTATCAACTAGGACAAGTGCAAACAGACAACACTCTGCTCACGTGACTTATATGAAACATAATATGAAAAAAACAGGGGCTGGTATCCATTACCACCTCCTTTTTTGTAATAAAATCCCCTGAATTTGAGCTGTGCACCTGGCATTTCTCACTCTCCCTCACAGCTGGATGTAGCCAGATGGTGAAGTCTAGGCCACTGGCATTTCCTGGAAATGACGGGCAACTCCTGGGTCATCTCTCTAAAGAGAGATGGACGCTCTCTCTTGCCCCCTCTGCCGGCTGGAAGAGGCAATGACAGGAGCTGCCTTGGCTGCCACACCAGCTGCTCCACTGCCCTGGCTGCTCACTTCTACAGCTCGATGAGAGAATCAGAAACTTCTAGCCAATGAAAGGCACTGCCTTTTTGAGGTTTCTTCATGACACCATCTTGCCTGTACTCTAATGAATGCGAATATGTGTCTGGGATTTGTGAAGGAGAGGGAGATGTATGTTATGTTCCTCACAAGTCACACACTATTGAGTTTTATAAGATACTTAACTTCCAGGGATTAAAAAAAAAGGAAGTGAGAATGCTTATAACTTTGGAGCATTCATTTTTCCTACCTTGTTGAGATATTCACAAGCCTCTTCACCATTTCCACTGTGATAATTTCGGATACCCTGAAGCAAGTAAAGTCTTAAAAACAAGACTTTCTCTTTTCCACAATTTCCCTAAAATTAGTGGAGGAGGGAAAAGGATAAAACTGTCTTATTTTCCATTACATGTCTATAATACTCACATCTGTAATTCCCTTTATCCCCAAGGGGCAAAATGGCATTACTAAAATGCTTTTAACTCCACTACTGCTAATGGCAAAAGCTAAGACCCCAGGGAACACTGACATCCCCTGCCCCAAACAGAACACCTGTCTCCAGACACCCAGGACAGTGGCTCTTCTGGTCAATGGGGAAGCCTGCAAAAACCCAAAGCAAGAACATCTTATGTTGTCCTGCAATCCCCAAGCAGAATTCTGATGACCCGTGGAAATCACCTGAGAAAAATCTCTGGAGCTCTGGAGCTGTGACTCACTCATGTGAACTGTCACTGTTCAAAATATCTGTGTTCTGCATTTAAATTGTTCATCAGAGTCTACTGAACACAGTCACCAGCTCTCTTGGTCAAGGTGATCAGTCGGATTCTGTGACTAGAAAACTGTGTTCCTCTGGGCCAAACACTGCACAGACCAGAGTAACAGCCTGACTTATAAAATGTTTAACAATCCCTTAGAACACAGCTTTTAAAAAGCACACTGCATGCTACTATCAAAACAAATTACCTTTTGGCAACAGCCTAAATACTTTTAACAAGAATAAACCCAAATTCCAGGAATGGGCTCAATAATACATAAAACAAATTACAGCAACATACTTTTATGTGGACCAGTCTCTGATGATTTTCTCCATAGCAATTTTTAAAGCATTTCTGGGCCATGTTTAATTTTTTCTCTGCATCTTCAAGGCATTCCAGCTGTCCCAAGCGGAAGTAGCACCACACTATATCCAGCTGGAGCACTGCGTAGTTATCCACTGTATCCAGCAGTTCTCTGCAGCACTCACTGCCGGAGACAGAGGAAATGACATCACTGACAAGCAGCATTAAAAACCTTTTTGTGAATGACTGGAGTTTTTTCCAGCTTTTGGTACATTTTGAAAGACTACTCTAAAACAGAGATCCAAATGTTTATGAAGGGAACTATACTTAAAAATCTGAATCCTTCTCATGGGAAAAAAAAAAAGAGTTAGGACTCAGGAATAGCAGCTCAACACCACCTGCCCTGTGAGGGGGAGAGATAGACACACTTGTATGCGCGCGCGCACACACACACACACACACTCACACATTCCCTTGCTATGTTAGGATAGAGGCTTGGCAGGAAGTAAAATTGAGGTCACTGTATCAGAATCCCTCAGCAAACGTGGGGAGACTACGCTTTAATGCAGTGGTTTCCAACACCAACTGCAAATTAGAATCACCTGGATGTGAGGAATTTTTTTTCCTCCTTTTTCCTTTTTTTTTCTTTTTAAAGAAACAGTGATGCTGGGACTCCACTAGATCAATTACAACTGAAACCTTTGGGGGCAGGGCCTGGATGTTGTATTTCTAAAATCTCCCCAGGTGATTCTAATGGACAGTCAAAGTTGAGAACCAAGGCTTTTAAGGCACACCAAAAACAAAAAAGACCCCACTACTTACTATGAATGCCTCAATGATGCGGACTCTGACAAGGCATTCATATCCAATCACAGTCAAGCAGGGAGGAAAAGCAACCCAGGAAAGTGCCAGGCTCTGGGGCCTCGCTGATCTGGGGGCCCAGGTGCAGGCTGCACCCAGGTACAGAGAAAGGGAGAGGAAAGAAAAGCCAATGGAATGTTGAGAGATGGACGTCAAGATTACTTATCTTGATTTTAAATTGTAATTATGTTAGATATTCATAATGCAAATCCAGATCTCAAGTTCCAACTCTTCAATAAGAAAGTAAACGCCTGTAACTATGCGCTCTACGTTAACTTTAAAGATCTCATCTGTTCACTTTCATTTGGTAGTCTACTGAAAATAAGACTCTCTTGTATAAAACTACAAAACCTACATGCCTTCAAGCTTCCCATCTTTCCCATCAAAATCCATTTGGGGGAAGAAAAAAAGAAGAAAGAAAAACCAAAAGACATCTGATTCTATCAGTCCCACTTTATAGCAGAAGTCTCCTAAGTGGAGGAGTGCCTGACCCAGGGGATGCCACTGGGCACAAGAACGACCTATCAGAGCAGGACTTGCATCCTGTTTGTTGTGGATTTCCTTGAACATTTCCAGTCTTCGTGAAGGTTTTATAACGTACACATCATATGTTACACACACAGGTGTCTGACCAGGCAAGGGGCACTGTCTCTGAATCTTCTGCTTAGCCTGAGAACTTGACACTGATGGGAGAGGGAGAAGTTCGTGGACTGTGGTCCAGGTGAGATTTTCTGATCCACCTTTAGACACCTTCTGTTTCTGGAAGAGAAGACTACCCTGCCATTTCTGGGAAAGTGGGGGACGTCTCTGCCACGGTTCTCAGTCTTATACATGTGAATAGCCTCAAGCATCAACAGCAAGGACAGAAACTGCCTCCTTTCACTCAAAAATAAAATCATACAACTCTAATCCCGAATTGACTGCCTGTGCAGCCAAAAACAAAACACAGGCACAGGTTATTAAGAGGTCCATTTCATTCTTTCAGTGTCAAAAATAATATTTTTCATTCATATATATACCTATAAAAAAGATCATGAAACCACATGTATATAATAATTCTGAAACTGTGGGACTATATTTGAACCTGATCATGTCACTCAGGAAAAAAATGTAAAGCTTTGAATAAAACTGTGTCTAAGAGTGTATTTTTATTGATATTGCTTTAGTAGCTTTAATATTCAATAGCCAATAAATTTTCATGTTAAAAACAAAATGTTAATGAAAATCAGTGTACATTTATTTAAATAAAATATGCTGAGCCTAGCTTTAGAAAAATTAAATCCCATTTGGGTTTAAGTCAGTTATTTAATAGAAATTTACTATATTTGCCTGAGGAATTGTAAGTTTTTATACAAAATAAAGATATTAATTTCAAGAAAGGTAAGCGAAGCTTAGGTATCTGCTTTTTTTTTTAAGAATGGTTGGCTAAAAAGTCATTTTTAGTTTTATTACTGGCTTTAAGACACTGGATTGTGTGTAGTTTTTTTCATATTTCTTGTACTTGGGCTTAAGAAATATTAGAGCGTTGTTAAAAACACGTTACTTGAAAACAATGTAACCCTTTCAAGGCTTACTTTTAAGCTTTGTTAGGTAGGACCAGGGCAGCCTTTAAGACAAAATTAGCCCTACTACGTAGGCAATACCCCGCTGAACTCTGTCCGACGCCCAGTGATCACACAGGTCTCCACTCTGGCTGTGGGAACACTCTGCTTCTCGCAGGCGGTGCCTTCCCAGCCTCGGGGGGCTTCCTCCCACAGCAGACTGCAGGGCACCCTCTGAGGCTCCCTGAGGTAGCCTCTCCTCTCACCACGTTGGCCTCCCTGGATTCCCCGGATTCCGAGTTCCATCTCCAACGCAGGGGGCTCTGCCTCGGTTTCTCTTCCCTGCACTGAACCTGGAAACTGCGCACCATGAGCTAACGTAATTCACAAGGTTCCCCTCATTTGTTTTTGTACCTCCGGGATCACTGTCCTACATCGCCAGAAAAACCACTATTTTCATACATTTTCGCCCAGTTTTTCAGCTGCTGCAGGTGAGAGGGTAAATCCAGTCCCTGTTACTCCATCTTGGCCAAAAGCAACCCCCACTTCGAGTTTTAAATAGGGAGACAAACTACTCCCAGTCATACTGCACACCACACCCCAAGATGCACAGCAGAAAGCTGTGATACAGGCTTTAGCCTACGTGGAGAAGGCAGGAAAAACACCAAGCAGGAGAGGAGACAGAGCAACGGAAGTTTCCTCACCTCCACTGCTGACCTGCAGTAGAGTTGACCTCCTTTACAAGGAGAGGGGACTCACACAAAACTATGCTTGTAAATTGGCCTGAATAAACAGATCCCCAGGGCGGAGAAATCACTTTCTACTTAAAAAAGCACTGACAATTATTATTGGATTATTATGTCTACTACCCACTAAAGAAGTGAACACACTGTGAACTGAAGATATAGTTACTTTAATTCAGGGGTTCCCTGAGACCTGAAAATGATTTCAAGCATTTGTCCAGGGTGAAAAGACTGAGAAAGCTTTGGAAAAAAAAAATAAAATAAAATAAAAAGACTGAGTAAGGCTCATTCAGACAAATCAAGACCAACCATGTCTGGGTAACTGCTGAAGCTGGATTATAAGTATATGCACTAGTCTCTATTTTTATATAATTTTGAAATTTTCCGTATTAAGAAATTAGAAGCAATTATGGAAAGGAATAAAAAATTTACCTGAATTTTAAGGACCTAACTTACAGCCTGCACTACGTGCAGCAGAAGAGAATAAAACTGACCCTCAGAAAGAAGCAGAGACAAAGGGTCTGAAAACTGGAGCAGCATGAAGCCCTTGTTCTGGTTACTTCTGGCTTCGCCCCCTCCTCTCAAACATTTTAGACAGTAAACCCCCCTTTTTGCTTTAATTTTGTTCACCTACAGGTGCTGCCAAACTATAAATACTTGCATTTACTTTCTTGAAGCATACAGTACATACTATTCCTCAAAATGGAAAAGAAAGTTAACACTAAAGTCATTACTTTTTGACCATTTTCAAATACCAAGTCTATTTTTCAAATATTTCATCTGCCTGAATCCAGAACCATTTCCTATTAAGAGGAACCTGGAGTCCTTGGGAAACTGCTGGCTGCTGCTCTGGGGCAGGAAATGTCCAGGATGAGTCTGGAACCTGGGCACCAGAGAGCAGAGACTACCACAACTACCCAGATCAGGTCACAGGGAGGCAGGACCACCTGCCAGCTGAAGATGCTGATTTAGGCACTGAGGTTTGAAACACATCAAATGTGTTAAAACCCATGAGCTCATACTGATACTTTAAAAAAAAAAGGAAGGGAAACCCCACCAGTGACATCATCTTTGGAAGATGCTAGGGAAGCAACTCATTTATTCTGAAAACAAGAAAATAAGGAGAAAGACACAAGAATTTTATCTGTCTTTCTGTACAAATTGTACCTCAGGAGAACCAAACAGCTGATGAGGAAAAATATGCTTCAAAAGAATTTGATGGGGACTGTATAACGGCTAGTTCAGGCTGACAACACACCACAGGAAACACACATGACATTCTACACGACAATAAAACAAGTGCATATGTTTATAAAATTCCTTACAGGGAAGAGAGATCAATTAGAAATATGATGGGAAGAAGAAGTTCACAAATTGGTCTACACCGTAACTACTCTTTGACATTAACCGCCTTAGGTGAAAACCTAAAGTCTGAAGCATACGGGGGTGGGGAGGGTGCTGTGTATAACTGCCCTCTTTCTTAAAACTGGCAGTCACCAAGTACAAAAGTGCCTACCAGAAATATCTGTCAGCATCCAACAGGCATGGCAGGGCTATTCCATATTCTTTTCTTTTCAGGAAAGCTCTGCCCTTCTCATGATATCCCATTGCTAACATAAGGGCCTAGGAAAAAATAAAGATTAAAAAAAATCACTTTAAACTATAATAAGACAAATTATATTAAAGTATATTACATCTACCTGCACCCCAATGTTCATAGCAGCACTATTTACAATAGCCAAGACATGGAAACAACCTAAATGTCTATTGACAGATGACTGGATAAAGAAGCTGTGATATAGT